CTTGTGCATGTAATCCAGAGAGGCTTGTGACTCTTGCAGCCATCCTACACTCTGGCTTTTCTGTGCTCTCGAGGCAAGTAAAATTACCCCCATACATCTTCTGACTGTGACATATTGATTGTAAGCCAAAGGAGAGGCTATCATCTCATCTACTGTGTTAGACCATTCGTTGGAAATTGACATTGTTAAAAATTCCACACCAAACAATACATGATGGGTTTTTCGAATTAAATGTTTATCTTTGACATTGTTAAAAGTTGTTATTCAATTCAAATTTTGACAAGCTGATTATGCAACTGAAGCTAAATCTGAGATGACTGGCAAAATTACTGCTGTGATGGTTTTTGTGAACATGCAGAAAAGAAAAACGGAGACACAGTTCAGTGTCAGAAAGAGAACCTGGCTACACCACAAGTTTCAGTTTCATAAAATGCATTAACTTGCATATTGGCATTTACTTTCACTCAAACACACACACACACACACACACACACACACACACACACACACACACACACACACACACACACACACACACACACACACAAATGTCACACTGTTCTTGTGCATGACTGCAGGCTCTCTCCCAGACCCCGCTGACTAACAGTTCTCTTTTTCAGGAGTTCTAAGCCCCGTCTCTGGGCAGACGCCATCACTTCCGCCCCTTCCACCTGTCAGGTGCCCTTGCCTGCTTTAATGGTGGCAGAGGAGGAGCGTGTGTGTGGGTGTGTGTGTGTGTGTTGTGAGGGAGGTTGTGGGGTGGGGGTGGTAGGGGGGGGGGGGGTCCATGGGGTGAGGGTGAGGGGGTTTCCACTGGACGAGCTGCTGGATCCTGTCCCTGCCTCCATGTGCCAGGCCTGCATCACAGTTCATTTCCCATCCTCCTCTCTCCTCCGCTGTGCTCAGCCAAGCCTCTCAGCAGGTGTCTCTCTGCAGAAGAGTTCTGCCACTACACAGGGCTGCATCTCTGTGCTCCAACTAAGAATGGCAAGCAGTCACCTCCACAACATAACTACTGACTTCAGTATTCAGTGGGTTTCAAAGCAAATTTTTTGTTAGAATTTCAAATTGTTGTGTGGCAGGTCATTGTGAGCACAGGCCGGTCATTGCAATGTACTGTCTGAAAGCCACTAAAAGTATATTTCTTTAATTCTGATAAGACAATACAATATAATTATCTAATTATTTATGAATTAGCCACCATGCATTTATATTGCAATTAGAAGTGTTTTCTTTGCTCACACATTAATTACTGGAAACTCCTTGAGTGTGTTGACAAAATCTACTTTGTGCTGGTGTAAACAACCACAGATACAGAGTAACTTGATTTATTTCAGGTACCTTACTATTTCTACTATTTCCACCTTTTCTGGCTCGTATTATTTTGCGACAACTGAAGTTACTTCTTAAAAGATGAAGGTGTCCTGGTATAACTACTTTGAAGATAAAGGTGCTGTACTGAGTACTGTCATCAAGAAGCAATCAACAAAGGCGCAGGTGGATTTCTGCTGCTTTTTAACTTCACCTTTTGAAGTTAATACACTGAGGCTGGGGTTTTGCCAAGCACCGAAATATGAGGGAAACATTTAAACTGTGTACTATGTACAGAAATTAAATTATCTAATAGTCTTCACAGTGCCGTTATCTCAAAATCATACAAAAAAAGAAAAATTGCATTTGAGGTATGTTGAGGTTGTTAGGTATGTTATATCAAAATGGTTAATAAATAGTTCTCAAATTTTTGTGCACTCTTACATCAGCTTATATTTTAGTTAATTCTTACCATTATTTACCATTACCAGCATTTATTTTAATCAGTGATTATCTAAGGACTGTCGGCCTTTGTCGATCATAATGCAGATTTCTGTGCCACTACTGTCGTGCTAATGTTTTCCTTTTCTGTGAAAATGTGTGACTGCATGATGACAGTGTGAGACAAAGGTGATGTTGACGCTGTGACAACACCATCATTACTTCCTGCTCTCGCTCCTACCTCTGAATGTGTGAATAACAAGATTACATTTTCTGCTGATGAATGGAGAGAAAATGCAATTAAAGAAAGCAGGAAGCTATTTACGGTAATATAGAATGGCAACCTATTTATCATATTGGCTGCTAGACCATGATGCCAGATAAATCGCAGAAATGTTGGTTTATCATGTGTACTCTATCACCAGTTATCAATGTTGCTTTTTAAACATTACAGTTTCAGTTTAGTGGTTAGTAAGGGCACTGGGTGGCTGTAAAATAAAATTCACAACACAAATACATCTCTAAATTAAGACTATTTACAGTTCACTGTGACATAAATAATTGTTAAAAGCTGCAGAGTAATATTAGGGCTTCTCCTGTACTACTTTCATTGTTTTTATGTCTGTATACTACATTTCTATCCCGCTGTTGCTTGTGGATGTGGTTACCAAGGTAACATCTCTAGTGGCCTGCAATTTGAGAGTATGGTGCCCTGTAATGTTGCCTTCATGTTACCATAGCAAATTTCTCTGTTCTACAGCACACACTGTATGAGGAGGCTTAGTGTGCTAATGCTCCTCAGTGCAACAAACACTACAGTTAATTAGGGTTTATGGAAAAATCAATATTGTGACAGTGGTTCAAGGAAGACTTTCTAATTTCACCTCATTCTGCTCTTTTTGTCAGTTAGATTTTCAATCTTAATAAATAAAGATATAATACTCAAATAATTGATTACTATTACTATGAACAATAGAAATAGTGCTACTTAATGTACTACTATTATCAATGCAAGGTGCATAATAGTTGTCATAATATTAAAGGTCCAGTGTGCAGGATTTAGATTGATCTACCAGCAGAAATGGAATATAATATTCATAATTATGTTTAATTACCAGAAACTAAGAATCATTGTGTCTCATTTAGCTCAGAATGAGCCCTTCACATCTCAGCCAGGAGCAGCTCCTCTTCCACAGAGCCCGCCATGTTGCACAGCCATGTTTCTACATTAGCTCAGAGCGGACAAATCAAACACTGGTTCTTCTGATTGGCTGACAGTTTTTTGAGTGCTGTATGGCCAGAGCCACAGCCAACCACAGCTAGCTTGGTAAAACTCACCTGTTATGGCGATGGTCAATCAGAACTAAAATGAGCAAATGGCTGACCGTCAAATTCACACACTGAAATGCTCCAGCTGGATTTTGTGTGGAGCTATGCAGTGGAGGTCCAATGCAGGAGTGGCAGAACATGCTGCTCCTGCCTCCAGTTCACTCTCCTTGGCTGCTAGACCAGTACAGTGCCAGTGTGCATGCAGAACCTGAGACCATCTGGGACATTAGGGAGGTGCATGGGCAGCTAGGACAGCAACAGTGGAATATGGCAAGTGGATTACCAGGAGAAGGGGAAGGAGCAGTCTACCCTTTTCGTTGCGGCCAGAACATGTGGAGTTTTGAAAGGGATTAATTGGCACTGCAGACGAGAGACCAGCAGCGACATTAAGGCGCATGCATGGAAGGAACGTCTACTGGTGGTGGCGTGGCGGCGTGACGGCAGTGCTTATAGGGTAATTATGGCGGAAGTATGCTTTGCCTGGGGTATGCTTTGCCAGCAGCTATGGAGACAAAGCCGTCAAGCAGCTTATCTTTTTTTCAGTGCTGTGACTCGAGGCGGTGGATATCATCCCTTAACTGTGAGTAAGCAAGTTTGCAGTCCACACAGAGACAGCCAGAAAATAGCTGTTTTTCAATCCAACTGTAACTCATAAAACATTACATAAAATAATTGCGAGATCGGTAGAAGAATAGTGTTAAAAAGATCAAAAGCTGAAAAGACCCTTGGAGAGGCCAAACAAAACACTAAGTGACCTTAATAGTAATCAACTAAAAACATTGCAGATTTCAGGTAAACACTTGGAGAAACCAAATCCTGCAAGGTTGGACAGTAGGTCAAGGTGGGTCATACTGGGGGCATAGCTGAGGGTGGTGACTGTTTCCTTGCGACATCACAAACTTATGGAAGTCCTGTCAGCTTGTTTCTGAATACAGGCTGTGTGCATTTCTCCGTGGACATTGATACTTTCACAGTATTTATATAGCACCTGGACCCGCTCCATAATGAAAAAAGACATGGAAATCTCACCTTCTACAATATGGAACCTTTAAATAGAATACCCAGTGTGCACAGGCCCAACTAGACAAGAAGAGAAAAGGAACTGTATGCATTATACATTGTGCAAAGAGTGCATTACATTTATAGCCCCATGTATTCTCCTGAAGAGATGACTTAACAAGAAAGCTTAAGTACAAGCACATTCTTGGTTGGAACTGGAAGCAGTTGGTTTTTCAAAAGAAACTCCATGGTATTACACAGCAGTTTTACTAATTTGAAATGCAAAAATCTGGATGTTAATTCAAAAAAAAAAAATGTTAAAAAGATACAGAAATATCAGCACACTGCAATATGCTACATTATCAAATTCTAGTAGTATAAAAAAAGCTTGTGTATTCTGTATATGATGTTCATTTTGATGTGGTATTGCATCTAAAAAGGTTTTTAACTGGCAAAACAGTTAAGAGGTCAGAAGTCCAATCAAAGTAGCAAAGAACAATGAATTGCAAGTTTGTATACATTTATGCAAAGCTCATTTAAAAAGAAGTATGACTGTCAGAAGATGCATGAATTAAGCAAATTCTGCCCTTAAAAGAGCATATAAATTTGCATTGCCCTTTTGAATTACAGCGTGGAGTCTATGTTTGCTGTAGTGAAAACTTAATGCTGTGGTTCCAGGTAAAGCAAACAGAGGAAGTAAAACTGTGGATGAGTAAATCATTCTTATGGAGCGTGGCTGTCACTTTAATTGAGACGTTGACTATTGCATATTCAAGTATGTGCTGCACTAGGCTGCTTTAGCCAATCATGAACGCTGTGCGCTGCCATTGGCTGAGCTCCGGAGAGAGCTGTGTACTGTGCTGTGAGGGGTGGGGGTGGGGGGTTCTCTAGCTCCTCTGCACTCTCCCATTCAACCTCTGTAGTCAGCAGAACGAGTAGCTGAGCAGAGCAACACAGCATCCACGGCTACAGCATCCTGCAGATGACTCCGCTCCATGGAGGAGAGGGAGGGGGAAAAAAAGGAACAAGTGTTGGAGAGAAAGAGGGAGATCCACAGATGAAGAGAGACTGAGAGAAGCACAGAGGGAGTAAGAGTGGGAAATGAAAGGAATTGAGTAAACACCGCTGGTCGCCTGAGGACCACTGCAGCTGTACTAAATCTGGGGCTATCAGGCCAACCCTCAGCAGAGCAGTAAGTGAGAGAGGCAAGGGAGCAAAGGAGAAAAAGAAGTGATTTGAAGAGCTGATCACATCATTCTGGACAAGCAGGAATGGGAACCCCAAGAGCCTCTCCGTCAGCAGATCAAACTTCACACAGGAAAAGTGCCTTCAGATCACCGGTCTGAACCTGCCTCTTCAGAAGAGTGAAGAAAACGGGCAAAACAAGAGAGTTGTCCTGTTAGTTCCCGAAAGGTATCACACAGGATCTGAGTTCAGCCCAAGTCTGTGCTCTTTCCAAGTCCCCCCTTGGTCGTCCCTCGCACCTGCCTGCTCCTGGTGAATGTCTTCTTTGCATGCACTCCCACTGCTCGGCAGTTGAACACACTCATGGTCGATGCCAAGGGAAGGAACATGAAATGTCTGACTTTCTTCTTAATGCTTCCCGAGTCAGTGAAAAGCAAGTCAAGTAAAAGCTCCAAGAAAGGGAATGCCAGTGGCAGCTCCAAGCTGCCCCCAGTCTGTTATGAGATAATCACTCTGAGGAGCAAGAAGAAGAAGAAGATGGCAGCGGATATTTTTCCCACCAAAAAGCCGGCATCCACCACCACAGTGCAACTGTATCAGCAGCAGAACCTCAACAACAACAACACCATACAGAACTGTAACTGGCAGGGACTCTACTCCACTATAAGAGAAAGGTAGGTACAACCAAGTCTCTGCACACACTAGCAATCGTTATTGTTGAGCTCAACAATTTTTAAATCAACATTACATTCAGGGGAGATGAATTTGAAATTGTAATCTGAAAATTTCTCATAAAGTTCAACTGTATTTTCATTACACAATACACAATTTTATGAATGGAATCCCTGATGTATCCCTGAATGTAAAAATTTATCACAAAACACTTAGTCTAGGTAACTACTCATGTATATTGTTAGTTTAAATGTGCGTGCCTGCGTGCGTGTGTGTGTGTGTGTGTGTGTGTGTATATGTGTGTCATAGGCTACTTTTGGGGAAAAATTTCAGACTAAAAACCAGTTAATTGGGGACAGCTTGTGCACTAGGGAAAAAGCAGATTTTTGGGTCAAGTGGGGAAGGTTAAGGTTAGGTTATGTTTAGGGTAAGGGAAATGAATGGAAGTCCATGTAATATCCCTAAAAGTGACCTATGACAACTTGTGTGTGGTGTGTGTGTGTGTGTGTGTGTGTGTGGGTGGTTCCCTTTGCCCTGCCCTCAATCTGCTGGAGGTATCTCTGTTTACACCCTCTCCTGCTCCTGCAGACTTTGTCGCTCTGACATAACAGAGGGCGAACAGGCACTGGGTGCGTTTGACATGCACAACAGGCAGAGGCTGCTCTGTACTAAAAGCAAAATATTTACCTTGGCCTATCAGTAAAAGACCCCAGCTGTCCAGAGCAAAATGTGTTCTTTGCGACCTGGCTTTGTTGTCTCTCCAGAACATCATGGGGCTGTTTACACACCCCTGTGACATGTTCCACTACTCAATAATATATGAACGCAGCTTTATTGTTGGTCCCATTCTTTCACAGTGGGGATTTTCCATTCAGTTCATTGTCTCGTTTGTCTTTCTTTATGGAGATATAAAGAGTTTAAGCTAAAAAATGGTTAAGCTATGAAATAATTTAGCTGATTTCGCTATGAAGTGCATAAGTGTGCTATGTAATACTTTAAAAAACAGTTCTCAAGTAATTTGGACACTTTATCCAATCATAAAACTTTTCTTTTTAGAGGAGCAAAAAAGATAAAAATACATTTAAGTTACTATTTTTGCTTGCACTTCTGCTAAAGACTCTCACCACTAATTAATCTGACTTTCATTTACATAAAATACATAAAAGTTGATTTATGTGCATTGATTCTCCTCTAATCTCATCCCAAATATTGTCAAGATATGCTTTTTGTGTCTTACCTTCTTCTTGCACAGAATAATAAATGTAAAATTAATTTTCAACTGTTTTTTGTGCTTCTTTCCCTTCTTAGAAATTCAGTAATGTTCAACAATGAGCTGATGGCAGATGTGCACTTTGTGGTGGGTCAGCCTGGGAGAACCCAGCGGCTGCCAGGACACAGAGTAAGAATTTCATCAACCAGTAAAATCACAGTAGCAGGGAGGAAATTAACAAACAAGCAATCAGCCAGCCCAGTCCATTGTTGTTCATATCATATCAGCATAAAAATTATCTTCCTCATTGCCAGCAGTAATGGAACTGAAATCCTTTGTGCTCCACTCTCACTTCCGCACCATGTGTCTTTTTGAGACAGTCCTCAATTATTTATGTAAATGAGGCTGAAAGATAGAGGCAGAGAGTGAGCGAAGGAGGAAGGGATATCCTCTTCAGCAGTCATATCACACAGGATGGATCGTCTTTGTCTCTGCTTTAGCTCAGCCTTTTAAAAAAAAAAAAACCCCACTGCAATTACTCAACCTTTAATCAAACACATCCAACAGAACACGGTTACAATGATAAAGCATAGAGTAAGGTTCATTCAACTCTGCATCTCACATCCTAGAAATACTTTTGTGCTCACTTACTTGATTAGCTTTCGGATTTTGGAATGACAGTAAAATGAATTTACTATAAATAGCTTTGATTATTATAATTGGGCCCATATTCAACCTGTTTATCCCAGCAGTCACCTGCAGGTTGACACCCTCTGTCTTCTTTGTTTAGTTCACCTTCTGACCTCATTGCTCTTTCAAGGTGTTCACATAAATGATTGATTACGGTTTATAGTTGCCTGGACCACATGCCTCATCTAAAAGCACATCATGATGTCGACTTTATTTGAATATGATTATAACATTCACATTATATTTGGTAAGTGATTTTGTAGCCATAGCTTTGGCTCAGTTATCTATTCCACATCTTCACTGTCAGATGAGCCCTGTATGGGTCATCTTTTTTGTTCTTTTTATGGGGCCCAAATGTATTATCTATGATTGGTAACTGCAGTGCACTTTGTGCATTTATAGAATGCAGTTATGGAAGGGCATTGTGGATCACTTGACTGCACTTTATGTTGAGACATTATGTCAATGGGATATAATGACGTTCAGCACAGCAATCTTTCTTGTGACCATTTGGCAGCAAGTCAGATAACAAAGTTATATCCCTCCAAGATGGAGGATGCAACCATCAGCTAAAAACAGTAATGTATGAGAACATCTGAAAAAGAACAACAAAACAACAAAAAAAAAACAAAAAAAAAACAAAAAAAACAATGGGCTAAGAGGTGGGATTAATTTTATTCTAATATATATATATATCTATATATATATATATATGTATCGTCTCTAAATCCACATAAAAGAGCGAGCGTATTTCAACTGACCTCTCTTTATGAAAAAAGAAACATGAATTTCAGTGTGTACAACAATCACATCATTGTTTTCAGAAACCCATATTTGCAAGCTTTACTTTAGAATAGGTTCACTGCAATTTAATCACCTAAGAGAAAGTCTATGCGCCTTTTTTGGGAAAATTTATACCACCCACACACCCACCTACACATACTCACTGTGTGCACACACACACAAAAACCTACAACATGAAATGTTCTCGAGTATGATTAGGATTCACAGTCTTGTATAAAATGCTTATTACTGAAATTATTAGTGGCCTTGTGTTGCATCTGATTTCATCATAAGTTCAGATAAGTCATTAATTTCAGTAAATTGAACTTCTGTTGCACTCTGTTCAGTTGCTTTATTAGGATTTTGTTTTTTGTTTTTTTTTGTATTTTTATCAGAGGCAATCTTGTTCATTAGAAATCTGCTTCCCTGTCTTCAGGGGAAACAGTAAATGGTTGAGCACTGCTCATTATGTGAGAAACTCAACAGGGTCAATCTCTCCAGTGATTAGAATTGAAGCATAGTTCAATATCCACAAAGAGATTTGTGTTTTCATGTAAAGAGAAAGAGCCACATGTGAACAAATTAGATTTAGTGCAATTCCCTTTCTTGCAATATTTCTGTTTTCCCACTTTGTTACTACATGTCATGCGGTTTCCAGTGAAAACACAGAAAAACTATGGCATATTTTCATTTCCCTTTTCCCTGTGTCATTTTGCTTTCTCTTCTTATTCCAACAGTATGTTTTGGCCGTTGGGAGCTCAGTGTTCCACGCAATGTTCTATGGTGAACTTGCTGAAAACAAGGATGAAATCCATATTCCAGATGTGGAACCAGCAGCCTTTCTGGCAATGTTGAAGTAAGGATTCTCCACTGTCTAAACTTTTCAACACTCTGTGCTTCCTTCAACTGGCCCTGTTCTTTTGATCTTTGAATGCCTTTGTTTGACAAATGTCCTCTTTGTACATAACTGCTATATGATAAAACTGCTCTATATCTATCTCTGACACGTCTTGGACAAAACTGTTCAGCACTTACCCTGTCATACAATTGAACTGAAATGAGTTCTTTCCTGTATCTTAAAGACAGAATCTATATCTGTCTTTTTTCTTTTCATTATACATTCCACTTTTCATTCTGAATCAGTCCATATTGTTCTCTACCTCCTGCTTCCTGTTCCTCCATCACTTTTATGTATGAGTTTTGTTTTCTGCATCCTTGCAAGCAGGCTACAGTAGGTGGGAGGAATATTATTTTGTTGGCTAGTTTGATTAGTTTGCACAGTGATTTCACTCTGTTTAAAATCCCATTTCATGTCTTCCAACATAGTTTTGAACAGATGCGGTGATTCATGCAGTATTCCTTAAATATCAGTCAGTTTCAACTTTAGTCATCTAAAGTATTTTTTGATGTGTGTATATATATATATATATATATATATGTACACACACACACACACACACACATATATATAGATCATTTTAACAAATATGTGTCCACCATGTCGCTTTGCATGACATTTCTTTGATGTTTGATCTGGTATCTATAAAGCTGACAAAGTCACATTTTTATGTCAACAGGTATATTTACTGTGATGAGATTGACTTGAGTGCTGACACAGTGTTGGCCACTCTTTATGCTGCCAAGAAGTACATTGTCCCTCACCTGGCACGTGCCTGCGTCAACTTCCTGGAGACCAGCCTGAGCGCCAAAAATGCCTGCGTGTTACTCTCCCAGAGCTGCCTGTTCGAGGAGCCGGAGCTGACACAGCGCTGCTGGGAGGTGATTGATGCCCAGGCCGAGCTGGCGTTACGCTCAGAGGGCTTCTGTGACATCGACGCACAGACCCTGGAGAGTATCCTACAGCGAGAGACACTCAACGCTAAAGAGATAGTGGTATTTGAGGCAGCGCTCAGCTGGGCTGAGGCTGAGTGTCAGAGACAGGAGCTCACCTCTTCAACTGACAACAAGCGTAAGGTTTTGGGCAAGGCCATGTACCTGATACGTATCCCTACAATGGCTCTGGATGATTTTGCCAATGGAGCAGCCCAGTCGGGCGTGTTGACGCTTAATGAGACCAATGACATCTTCCTGTGGTACACAGCAGCCAAGAAACCTGAGCTGCAGTTTGTCAGCCAGCCCAGGAAAGGCCTAACACCCCAGCGTTGCCACAGATTCCAGTCCTGTGCCTACAGAAGCAATCAGTGGCGCTATCGGGGCCGCTGTGACAGTATACAGTTCGCAGTGGATAAAAGAGTTTTCATTGCTGGCTTTGGACTGTACGGATCTAGCTGTGGCTCAGCAGAGTACAGTGCCAAGATTGAGTTGAAACGTCAAGGAGTACTGCTGGGACAAAACCTCAGCAAATACTTCTCCGATGGTTCCAGCAACACCTTCCCAGTGTGGTTTGAGTACCCAGTCCAGATCGAGCCCGATACATTCTACACTGCCAGTGTGGTTCTGGATGGAAACGAGCTGAGCTACTTTGGACAGGAAGGGATGACAGAGGTGCAGTGTGGGAAAGTGACATTTCAGTTCCAGTGCTCCTCAGACAGCACTAACGGCACAGGGGTGCAGGGGGGACAGATTCCTGAGCTCATCTTCTACGCTTGACAAGCCCTGTGCACATATTTGACTGATTTTCAATGCATTTATGGAAAATAGAAAATGATCACTTTGTGCATAGTGTCACTTTCTGTTATTTATTTTTGTCACTACTGTGCAAAACAAAATCTGGTCTCAAACCTTTGAAAGGGTCTTATGTGGTTTTAATTTTAGTAAATGGTCCACTTGAGTAGGACCAGATCTATTTCAAGTTGTTGGATTGTGAAAATACGCTGATGAACAAAAGTTCTAAAAGATTAAAAATATCTTGCACTAAATGTGCCTGTATATATGAATATATGTAAATTCTGAAATGTATATGATGCCACCAATTGTGGCCAATGCTGGCCACAAAGATATCTTATATGATGAATATGCTACAGTATGTTTATTATGTCTATTCTTGCATAGAATGCACATATAGAGCAGCAATACTTCACATTCTATATTCTACGATGAACATTTCCTGTCATGACTCAGTCTGGACCATCAGCATTATACGTCAAAAAAGCTGTATGATACTTAAAGCAACTTTTCAAGTTATGATTACAGTCAAAAACACTGTTTGTCCTATTGTAGTGTGTAAACCCCATTAGGCATTTGTATTCGAGTGGTTTCAATTGAATCTGCAGCTTTTTGATACTTTGAATCTAGTAACAGGGCACTTAGAGAGGTCTTGAGGGGTCTTAGATTAGGGAGCACTGAATATAATGAGACACACAACCCCTACAGTATCTCTCTGTAGCATGTTGCTCTGCATCTACACAAATCTCAGTCACTCCAGTGAGGTATCATTTGCATCAGTGTCATTATGTTTACAGTGAAAATGAACTTAAAGTGATCACCATTCACCACTACAGGGTGGAGTGAAAGATTTCTTTGGTTTTCCCTTGGATTCTGTCTGCATTGCAGTACTGACGTGTGCTACTAATTGTTATTGCATCTTGGTTTTGTTTACAGCAAAAAAATCAACGATTGATTCAGTGTTAGAAGCTGTTTATCTTATGGACATTTACTTCTCTTTGTTAACAACCCTGTGCACTCTGAACTGCTGAGCACTCCCTCCCAATGTGATCATTCAGTATCAGTATTTGCAGAAGCATAATGTTTATGCTACAGAATTGCACTGATGTTGGTTTGTAATTGAATTTGTTTCATTATTTTTATGAGTCAGATTTTTTTTTATTTAATGTGATACTGAATATTCTTTCTGGTGTAGGATAAACATCCACAGGCTTGTCTGCCGATGACAATAGATGGGAAAACTGGTGTTCATGTCCTGTGTTTACGTGCTACAGTGCTGGGAGACCAACGAATGTGTATGATTGTTGATGATGCAAATAAACAAAACAAATGGTACATATTGATTGTGTACACCATCTGTGGAAAACAGCACCATCACATGCTACATACTCTGACTGAAATTTGGAGATGGGGACAGATGATGCCCTTCGGCACTGCAGTGATTTACAATGCCAAGGAGAGCTGTCTGCTGTTTGATGATCCCTGTCTTGATGCCACTTATACACCCTGCTTTTTGTCTGTCAAACTCTAACTCTATCTGCATCCTACTGAGCTATGCAAGACTACGCTTCCCCCTCCTTAATGAGAATTTTAATAGCCTACAACTCTAAAGTATGGCTTTTTGATGTGCAACCTCTACAACCTTGAATTTTCACAGACTGCAGTCATAAAGAATGGATTGACATGACCATCGCATGTTTTCAAGTTTCAGGAGATAGAGAAAGAATGATATTACAATCTCAAATGTTGAAAAACCCTGAAGTGTTGAATTCCCAGGATACCACACTGGCTGTTTGACCCATGGTTGATCTTGATGTGTCTGTCTGCTGATAAGAAAAAGACAGTAAGTCTCTAAAGTGGATTTCAACTCCTGTTCATATCTTTGTCTTGCAGACAGTCTTCAGAAGTTGTGCACTTGTGTAGTGGATGAAGTTAAAAAATTCCAGTCACTGATACAATTGCCCATACACTGACAAAACAATGAATTGACAAAGACATTTTATAGATTTCTGAATTTAACTTTATCTGAGTGGCTGATATGCTGTAAAACTCAAAAACAAGAGTCATTTACTGAATCTCAAGACAAATCATATCTGTTCGTGAACTGTATGTTCAAAAAGATAATCACTCCTGGGAGCTTATGGCAGGTACTTGATTACCAAGGCACTCAATAATGCTGAGACCAAGTTTGACATCGCCAATGAGCATGAAGCCCTTGATGAATTGAACTCAATATGTTGGGGGACTTGGTGCTTCAACGCGATTTTTCATGATTGTGGCGCTAATGTTGTAAGCAAGATCATTAATTGCACTGGAGGCAGCAGGGGACTACAATGTGCCAGGAGTCAGAAGCACGTCTGCTTTCCACAGACACACACTCACGTTTTCATTTTGCAAATGTAACCGATCTACAGCTGCAAAATTACAATGCAGATACAGCTCAGATACAGTGAGACGTAAAAGAAGGACACACTTTCCCTAATTTTATTCTCCGAGAAAAATCCCTTCTCACATCTACTGACCTGACATTTTTTTGGTGTTGGTCACAGTCAGTTCAGAAAGCAGTAGTATTGCCAGAGGCTAACAGCTCACTGCCAGAAAGATGGCGGGAACAGCTCTGCTCTTCATGGAGCACATTACCAAAAAAACACTGCTGAATCAATACCAAGACTTCAATCTGCAGATGAGCTGGAAGCTCTAATTACTTGTTATTGCAAAGTAGTATTCATCTTCCAAAACCCTCTAAGACATAAATCTATCATTGACCCATTATGTGATGAGGCTATACTTAATGAAAACATAGTATTTTTTTATTCTATGAGCAGTGACAATTATTGTGGGAAACCATTTTAATTGAATAAATCAAATGCAATTAAATTCTAGAGGGCTAAAAATAAAATGCATGATGAGGCATCTAAATTAAGATTGGTTTGTCAGAGAGGGAGCTATAAAGAGAAGCCATGTATTACTAATGAGGAAGTCATCCAAATACTAAATGTAACTGATAAATATCTCCCGCAGTTTTTAGGATTGCTCGCTCACATATACAGTGCTGGCATCCAGTTTGATTTTAGCACTGAAATTTCAAATATATAATTCAAAGTGTTTACAGTCTTACATCTGTTTATCAGAGTATAGAGGAAATTACATGTAATATTCATAATCATAAATGCGGCTGTGAATTCTTGACAGACAAACTGTGGAATAAACATATGGTTTAGCATTGGAAAGGAAAAGGGGAAAAACAGAGCTGGTGGATACCGAGTCAGACTGGGCACATATTGCGCAGGAGAATCACATTGAGGTTTTATTTACTGTTCAATAAGAATTAAGGATGAAAAGATTCTGTCGGACTTGAGGGAGGACTGTGGATTACTACTGATCAACATTCCTAATGCTCTCTAAGATTGATTGTTGAGGTGCAGATAAGTCTGTGAGGAGAACCAAAAGATCTTCTGTATCTAAGAGAGAAGGTGTTGTTTCTTTACTCCAGGGTTAACATAATGCACAAACAATCACATGACTGACTACTTTTCATATTAATGTGATGTAGGGTTAATTGGGATAGAAATGTCTACTAAATTCACGCAACTGCAAAACACCACAGTTCACAACCACAAGGGGAAAGAAAATGGTGAGAGGAATCTCATTCTGTTTTTACCATATTAAACATCAGTCTATTCACTGCAGGCAATCACATACCCACTCCTCAACATCCTGATTATTTCCATCCAAGCAAAATGTCAATGAATTAATAATGGCCAAAGAGAGGAGGGAAACACAGCTGTGGGTTTAAAGAATTCATCAAAGAAAATAATTTTAAAAATATGTTTTTTAATTCAACAAATCTCAAAGGGAATCTCAAAGCCCTTTTCCCCTACCTCCTCTTAAACCATATGTTTCCTCTAAAGGTTTACATGTATCTGTACAACAGTCCTGAGAGCACAGGTTATGTTACATAGTGTACTGGTGTATTCTAAGTGCAAAACTGTCCAGTAAGTGTTATGAGAGCATCTGGCAAGGGCTGCTGAAGGTTAAAATGAATTGCTGTAATCCAGACAGATGTAAGGGTGTCTGAGCCCCCCCCTCCCCCAACTACTCCTATGGCAGTAACCTCAGTCTACTGGCAGCCAGTCAAGCAGGAACAAGGCAGGGGGTGAGAGGAGAATGGAAAGGGGGAGGCAGAGGTAAGTGGCAAGTCTGGCTTGAGTAACATTCAGGTGACGCAGCCATTCCCTTGATAATTATCACACAGATTATTAGTGGACAGCCAAAGTAGCAATTAATCACATGTGAGTATAGCGAAAGGTCGCAAGGTTCAGATACAAGGTGCAGGTAGAGGCAAGGAGAAGACAGGAGTTTGACTGATAATCACTACCCTCCCTTCTCCGTCATCCCCATTCCCAACCCTGTGGCACTAAAGACCTGCAAAATTTAAAGGATATTATTTCAAATAATCTCCTATCTCAGAGCTGTTGCCTCCAGTCGCATGCGGTTGGGATGCTCTGCAGGATCAAGCCCGTGATTGTGTGTCTCATTTATCTATTTATTTATTCATTGCTACCAGGCAGAACTAAATCGTTTCAACAGGCTGGGGCATTGAGAGGCCAGCTTTTATGTTAGATTAGCCTGTTTATAGCGATGTCGCTCGGCTCCAGATGGATCAATATGGCTAGGATTTCTGGAGGTAAGCGCTCCGAGTATCAGGTGAATTATGATTGCTGAAAAGAGAGGAAATACGCTTTTGGTGGACAAAGGACGCTCCAGAGCCTATTCAAAGCAGCCAAAACACACACAACATAGTGACAGAGCATCATGCACAAAGTGGAAGTAAATTATATTACCTTCCAACGGTGCAGAGGTAAATACCCTGTTTACATAATTGTGTTTTTGTCCTATGAAATACAATCCCAGAAGGTATATGAATGCTGCACTCCGGCAAAAAGTAGTTCTTTCACACACTCTGAAAACTGAATTTGATGGTGATGCATTATGCTAATCAAGCTATTTATTCCCACAACTATGGTCTCGTATACCTGTCACCCACAGCCATTACGGCAAGGCTTGATCAAAACCTTGAATGTTGGCAGCTTCCCACTGAGAGGGGTGATGAGGGCTGGGCATGCTACTTTTTGTATATACTCTAGAGCCTCTATTCATACTGAAGCATGTCCTCTAAGGCAGCTCCATGGCTTTGATAGTATGGAGTGAGAGGTCCCTTCTCTCCCCAGGGTCTGATATAATGAGAGAGAGCTTACTAAACATGATCTGCTCTCTCTCAAATTCACTACTTGAAACAGCTCAAGCCTGAAACAGTACAACAAACAGCACTGATTCATTTGTACACATGCTCCTTCTCACTCCCACTCTCTCTCTCTCTCTGTGAGCTATAGAAGGGGGGGGGGGGTTAATGTGTTTTAATGTGTGATAGAGAGTGATACAGAGATGGGGAAAGAACAGAGAGGCACCACAGTCTAGGTTTATGTCCATTCATTCAGAACTCCAACACAGGAAATCTGCTTTCCTAGTTTGCAAGCACGAAGAAAATGTGATGTGGCAGATTTTAAATGATTGCATTCATGGTTTGCATTTGTACAAATGTGAATAGAAATGTACTATATGGTTATTGCCACAATAATGGTTTAACTGTGCCATTTCTCATATTCAGTCATTATCTGCTCTAGGATCTTATCACATAGCAGCGGGGAAATCAACAGAGACATTATACTGGCAACAAGGTATTTCTTTTGTCAAACAAATCAGAAATATCAACTAGACTGAGAGTCAGCACAATTTAACAGTGCTACAAGAATGTATTTCCTGTCCATGAATACACATCTACAAGAGTGAATTTTATTTGCTGAATGCCCATTTTCTCTCTATTTAACCTTTAAGTGCCCAAACATTTTCCAACACTAGCAATTTCTGTCTGAATTAAGTATAATAACACCTATAGCAGTGATACTGCGCCTGACTTCTTTGAAATCCAACTGAGCTCTACGAGCCTGCTTTTCTGGCCTAATTTAAGAAGTGGAGCGCTGTCTCTCGTTCCTCTGCCCTTGTTTATGTCCTGCTTACCACAGGGAAAACCAGTTACTATGTCTAAAAGTCCACACAATTAGCACCGTTCAAAAAGCATTTCCTAGGCAATTCAGTCCAAAAGCGTACTGTTAAAAGTTAGTGTCACACAGTTCATTATAACTTTGAAGCAGAGAATCCACATTCAATCAAAGAGGGATGGAGAGTAATACACCTGCATTCACAGCAGCTCCACGATTCTACAATCTGTCTGCATAAACATCCCCACAGCTGCACGATCCAGGCCTAATTGTCAA